CACCCAAGTTCCCACTCAGACCCAGTCAAACCCAGTCCTTCCGATCTGGGCCCAGTTGGGACACCCAAGTTCCAGTTTCCTCAGTCAAACACAGTTCTCCCAAACTGGGACCGGTTGGGACACCCAAGTTCCCAGTCAAATCCAGTCCTCCCGATCTGGGCCCAGTTGGGACACCCAAGTTCCACTTTCCTCGGTCAAACACAGTTCTCCCAATCTGGGACCAGTTGGGACACCCAAGTTCCCAGTCAGACCCAGTCAAACCCAGTCCTTACGATCTGGGCCCCGTTGGAACACCCAAGTTCCAGCTTCCTCAGTCAAACACAGTCCTCCCAATCTGGGACCGGTTGGGACACCCAAGTTCCCAGTCAAACCCAGTCCTCCGGATCTGGGGCCAGTTGGGACACCCAAGATCCAGTTTCCTCAGTCAAACACAGTCCTCCTAATCTGGGACCAGTTGGGACACCCAAGTTCCCAGTCAAACCCAGTCAAACCCAGTCCTCCCAATCTAGGCCTGGCTGGGACACACAAATTCCAGGGAAAAATATTGTGCGCTTCCTACACGCCTCATTCCCATGCACAGAAGCACAAAGGAGTCCGGATACGTCCATACGTTCCATGTACGAAGGGGAAGACAGACGTGCATGAGGCAGAGGCGGACAGACAGATAGAAAATTCGAAGTCCAGACACCATAACACAGGGCCTCTGATTCTTGTTTGTTTTTTTTTGGGGGGGGGAGGGGGGAGTGAATGAATAAAAAAAAAGGAGGATGCCAAGTAGAGAGAGAGGCATGTTCCTAACACAAACAACCAACAGAGATTTTTTTTTTTTTTTAAATGTAATCATTGTAATGTAATGTAACTACTACTATTAACAGGGATGAAGAACACACGTGAATGGAACGCAGAAAGCCAGGAAAGTTCACTGCGCTGTTCTGGAAGAATCACGGCTCTTACAATTGTTTTTTGCACTTCTCAGTGTTCTTCCTACCCTTTTTTTTTTTTTTTTTTTTTTTTTTTTTTAGCACCTTGAGAGGCTTCATCTATTGGTGAGGAGCATCACCTGCTGGAAAATGGGTCCAGCGTCCCTCTGGAATGACCTTTCAGAAAGTTAAAGCCTACCTGTCCACTTGCGAGCCCCACCGCCAGATCCGCAATGAAATTGTCCTCTGTCTCTCCACTGCGGTGGCTGACCATCACTCCCCACCCAGCCTTCTTGGAGTCAAGGGCAGCTCGTATAGACTCACTGACTGTACCAATTTGATTCACCTGCAAGAGCCACAGGAAGGGGGGGAAACCAAGCCTTAAAAACCAGCAGTGCCTCGGCCAGGCAAACGAGATAACCACCAATACCTTTCCCAGGCAAACACAATTTGCCCGCCGGTTAACAAGGAGGCCGGCCCCAGCAACGCGCGTCGGCCAGATGCATCCCAAATGCTCGGCACGCCAGGCCCGGGGCCAACATATGGGAAAGGTACTACTAGCGGTTTAAGAATTGAAAATGAGACATTCCATGGTTCTGCGGGGCAGGAGGATGAACGGTGCTACCGGACTAAAAAATAGCTGACACCAGCACCAGCCAAAAGAGTGTGAAGTTTGTGGTGTAATGTGCGGAGGAGGGAAGTCCGTCTCGGCACAAAGAGGATCAAACGTACTTGGTGGTCTAAGGCAGGAGTTCACGCACAAGAGCCGAGACTTCAGAATCATCAGTCGAGACAAAGCCACTGTGCACTGACCACAGCCGTCTCGCTAAAAGCTTCAGCTCCAGGCAGCACAGACAGGCAGACGGGACATATGCACACACAAACTTTTTATAAAAAAAATGAAGACACACAGACAGTCAGACAGACAGTCAGACAGAGAGGCAATCAAACAGACGAACAACGACAGACCACTAGATGGGGAGGCAGGCAGACATTCGAAGGTAACATACGGATAGAAACGGACAAAGAC